GCTAATGATTGTCGGTGTGGGTCGGGGTCGACGCGCCAATAATATCAGTCCATCGTGGACAATACAATATTTTTTTTTTTAAAAAATGTAGACTCCCGAAAGCTGATGACCTTTGTGAGTTGTGCAGGTGTTAAACGGTATAAAGAAAAAGAACACCAGACCCGCTTGTCGCCTCGTTAGCGCGGTCTATACGATCGTCGTTGTGTATGTACACATAATATTTAGGGTGGGTTTGTTATCCCTGCTTGTACCACAACTGTATTAATAGTGATTTATAGATGGCGGAGTCGAACGGCTTGGGTTTTTTTGTATATTGTATAACATACGAAAATTAAAAATTAAAATATATTATTATGTAGAAAAATACCTGTGACGGTCGTAATGAACGTAAACGAGATACCGGACAGAGTGTAGTAGCGCACGCACGGTGGCTGTTATTGTGCGGTTGTATTGTTCTGGCTTCCGGTGACCCTGTGATCGCTTGTGATGGCTGTGGGCTGGCAGATATATTGTCGTGGCATTAGGCCGGCAGTTGGGGTCGCGTACGCTCATGAGTTCTCCTCCGTCCACGTTATTGCAACGGTTCCGGTGCAGTCTCATGTCGATGGTGACATGGACGACTGTGCCCGTTGACGGCGAACCGGGCCACGACAAAGGAGGCGGCAATAGAGGTTACAGGAACGGCGGATCCCGTCGCAGGAAACGCAGGAAGAACGGCAGTATGTCAGACAGGGCAGCGGTCCGTGTACACAGGATCAGCTCCAGGTATCCGACGGTGCAAGTACGTACCCGGATGGATTCTTACGGGGTGATTCCCGGCTTGGAGTCTCGCGATCAAGAACAGCGACCGCAGCCAGACGCTACCAGCAAGACAGACACCGGCTGCTCGTCGACCACTACCGACACGGATTTCTATTACGTGGCCCAGAGCGCGGCCAGCAGCGTTCACACTACGGTGGTGCAAGTCCAAGGAGATGACCAGACCGAACTACAGTGCGAGCAAGAAGAATTCGACGACAGTCTGATGATAGTGACCCGGGTAGACCGCGAAAATGACCTCAATGTGCAAACCGACCATCGCCACGTTTTGTCTGAATCCTGTCGCGTTAAAGTGGAAAACTTGAGGTGACCAGCTTAATTACTATTAGCTTAAACTACTTTACACGTAAAGATATAAAATCTACTTGAACCCTAAACCATAAAAATTATACACTTCTTGCGTACACGTGTTACGACAACGATGTTGTCATCTTCAGCGCTAACAACAGACTTTACACGGTTAGAATACGTGGAAAATCGGGAGCTAAATGGGGATTAGCCCTCATAAAAAATGTAAGGCATTGCAATATGATGACTGCACCTTTGACGACCATCGATTTCGTTTATACCTATTTATTTTTATTTTTTTAACTCAAATTCTTTATAATCAGTCTCTCAATACAATTTACATATAAGCATCTAGGGGCAGGCTCGTGGCAGAGTAAGGTAATGCGTCAGTGTACCAACACACAGTCGCCGGTTCGAATCTCGGCCACTGACGTTTTGTTCCTCCGGGCGGGCAACTGTCTGGGAGATAAATGGCCACCTGCATCTCTCTCCAGGACCAACATGTTTGGTAGAGTTAGGTCGGCAACCTACTATAAGCCCAAAAATGCATTATCACCGATCGGTGGGCTTCGATCTCTTATTTCGATTGATTTTAAAATAATTAAGGCCGACATTTTTTCAGTAATCATTAAGGTATAAATCACCATTTCTATACAACTTTTTACTACAATGTGTGCTGTACACTAGCCTCAACACGGTTACCTAAACCTAAATTTACTTTTATTGTATTATTTTACAATGGATATTTTTTGGTAAAATCAACATATTTTCGTTCCTGATATTCCTACCATCAATCGCCCATCGCGTGTTTTTGACACATAATACATTGCCCAAACAATAAACAATACTTTTCAATTAATTTGTTTACTAATCACAATAGGAGAAAATAAGTTCAATAAATTATGAAAAATAAGGATTAGCAATCTGTAATTAAGTCTTAAATTATAGCTTGTACAAAAGACGTCGTTTCATCATATTATCTATTGCACGCTAATGTACAATATGCTTTGCCGATACTATGCCAGTAACATGCGGTAACTTGATAGCGGTAACGTGATTTATATTACTACCACCGTGGAAATTCAATTTTTAAAAAAAAACTCAGATAGTGTTTATTATTTTAATAAGCAATCACCTAAATTTATATCATATACGCTCTAAAAATATTGTAATTAAGGGCATTGTGCGAAAAATTAAATCTATATCTTGACCATTTGATGGTAGTTAGTAATAATGTTACATTTTTTTGTAACACTATTCCCAGGTATTTCGGGGCGTCTTCTCCTTGTATATTAACTCCCTGAGCCATGATTTAAAATAGTTTTCAACAATGGATAGATCTTCGTTCAGTATCTCCTCCAGTTTTTCAAACGACAGCCTGAGCTACTAATCCCACATCATCTGCATACATACATTTTCACGATGTTGTGTTTACGAGATCAGATGTGTAATCATTTTACAATACTTTATAATAAATACAACTAAGTGATTCCACACCGTTGCGCTCCGATTAAAATCTAAATTTACTGAAAACATTATTCCTTGTTGGATTGACACATGGAAATTATCAAGAAGAAATTTAAACCGTAACGGATCTCTGATTGAGTGAAAGTAAATAAATTATTTTGAATGCTTAATTTTTAATTTAAATATAATGCGAAATAAAAAATTCTTCATAAACATAATAATATGCAAATGCACGCAAGATAGTGTAATAAAAATTCACTTTATTATAAATGATGTGTAATCATTATACTTGGCGGTTGATAACCGAAACCGTTCTACTTTCATAATTAGTAAAGACTATACAAAGTTTACGGTTATAAGATTCACAATATAATCTAAACAATAATTACTATACTATTGCAATAATAAATTAATTAAGCAGGCTTGACAAAACACGTATGTTTTCTTTATTAAAATATCAAAAAGCATAAAGTTGAAAAGCTTCTATTGCTTTTATTCATCAAAAACAAATTTAATTATCCAATTACCGGCATTAGACTAAATTTTTTAAATACATTTATGCACTATAAAATGGTACAAAAATATGCGAATATATTGTATTAAAAATACACATTAAATTATTGTACTGCACTAGTTTTGCTTAGCATGATTACTCAAATATAACCATGTTCTGTTTTGTGCGCTCTGTTTGGCAAACATTATCGTGGACCTGTGCAGTATGTGTATAGCAGGTCTATTATTGTTATTATGATTATAGTTATTACTATGAGGACGCATTGGCATTGAGTAAAAAAAAAATGAACCGCATTCGTTACGGGTTATGCGCACACAAAACGTAAAATAGCAATTGTATATAATAATGATATTAAGGCGCTCGCAATATTCGCCGATGTTGTTTATGTTGCCGTATAGTGCCATCGTCAGGGGCATTGTCGGGTTTGCGAGGCAGCAGCAGTTACCATGTCTATTAAAAACAACAACGTTGCGCCTTGTTAGGACATAGTGTGTATTTAAGGAGAAAACATAATTCATACAATTAAGAACTTGTTTTCTACGCTAAATTCTAGATAATCATTTGTTTACACATTTATTAAACCATTTATTACTTACAAAAAAAAAAGTTTATTTTCATTACTTTGTTAGGCTTAGGCTTTCTTTTTATTGTCGAGTTCCATTATTACTGTCAAAAATAAACTTAACTATTCAAAAATTTATTTTAATCAATTTAAAGTATCATCAAGTTAATCTGATGATACAATTCATAAATATACATATAAAATTAAAATAGTAAGAAATTATGTGTTATTTATAACACCTCGTATAAATGAATGAATATTTATCTATTTGATAGAAAACACCTGTTTATATTATCATAATTAGGAGTTTAGGTTAATATGAATAAGCCAACAAAACGATTATAAAATTAAATAGTTGACTATTAAATTATACTTTGCAGTATATAAGTATTTTCACCGAACTGGTAGACTTGTGTCCATGAAAAATAATGATAATGACTTATTAGTAGAATTGAGTTATACTGAGGGACAGAGGCTCCTTAAAGTTTTACAATACAGTTATATATTATAATAATAATATGGTATTTAGTGTCAAGTTTGATGTTTAATTATAATCCATAAATATATGATTGTAATTATTGCTAACATGATATAGTAATAAATATAATGTTAAATTGATTGTATGATGATTGATAACTGTATGATATTATAATACACATATGACGGTTTAGATAAAACGATACCCAGTACCCTTTAGGTTATACAGTAAAAACCTAATATGGGTAGGTAATAAAGTTTTGTACAGTATTATAGTCACTAAACCGACTTGCGTATTAATCGTGTCAAAACTCGATTTCATATTATGCTCGACTGTTAATCCGGCACGACATACGCATTATAAAAGTTTAACTGCCACTCGAATTGAACGATTCTAATTAACAGATACAATGCGATACTATATTATTATGGTGTGTCTAAAGGTACGGTGTTGTCAATAGTAAACACGTTATTCGGTGGCATTTACAACAATAATATAATAATATAATAAGCAATAACGAATACATACGCGAAAAGTAAAAGTTTGACCGACAGACGGTCGATTAGCGTTTGATTATAAACGGTGTATTATTGTTCAACGCCTCTATAATATTGCAATCAACCGTTTTAATTCCAAAAGATATAGGTACAAAACAAAAACCATATTGTTTTACGGTCTACTAAACGCGCCCGGGCGGTATTACATAAATCATATTAAACTTTCATTAAAGCGATAACTATGTGTGTATTATAATTTTTTATTGTCACCTTATGTAGTACGTTCAGAGGTGGTTTTACAATTTACATGCACTTGAATAAGTCGCGCAATTCACAGCGATTAACGGATTATTTGTTTTTTTTCTCCTGTAACAGATATGGTCGAGTGAACGTGGTCAGGTGGCTGTTGTGGGAAGCGGACATGCCGGTGTTAGAGAAGTCCAACAACGGGGCACTGGCGCTGCACTACGCGTCCGCCCGGGGTTGCCTGGACTGCGTTAAGTTGCTATGTAAATCTACTAGCGAGATATGGTGAGTAATCAAAACATCATTTATAAAAAAAACCCATAGTTTTCGTTAAAACTATAAATTATAACACCAAAAATAAAATGAGCTTACATAAAAAAAAATGTCAGCCTTACGAATGAGGGTTTAACTATCTCCATATATACATAATAACTATGTAATGTAAAAGGGATTCAGTTGCATGCCGTGAAATTCTGCACGTCCCAACAATTCATTTGCATTAGACAGCTGATTCCGTAATAATATGATAAACAAAATTTGCATTTTAAACGTTAGAAAATAGTAAGTACGTACCTAAACTAAAATAATGCAATATAGAGAGTAAACCCGTATTCGACTCACAACAAACTCTTAACAAAAATAAGACATTAATACATTTGAGGATGCCGGAAATACACGTTTAGTGTAACATTGAAATAAACATATATATCCGCTTAGACTTTCGACCCATTGCTAGAACGGAACGGGTTTTACTAATATTACTTATTATAATGAAGATCTCCGGTTTTGAATTTATCAGATATAATAAATTAACACACATTAATGTTTTCCAATAAAATCTAAATTAAAGTAACGTATTATAATGAAATATAATTGACGATTCAGTAATCGATGGTTCGGCAAATAGGAAGTTTGAATAGGTAGTCTTTACATTAGTATTTTAGAAATTAGTTTAACGTATCAAGAGAGTTATAATAATAAGAGAGACAATAATATTTGGTTTAGAAGTTTAATTATACAATACACGTATATAACAATAAATAATAATAAATCAATTTATATGTATTTTTAGTATCGATAAAACCCACGATTATGTACATTAAATGTATATTAAAACTAACATTAAATACATTGATATATTATTAAAACCTTGTAGTAAATAACAGACCCCCGTGGATCTAATGAATTTAACTAACTGGACGCAATTACCAGCTTAAGAGTACATCAGCCATATACAGAACCGACAGTATGAAGAAAAACAATCTCGGAGTAGGCCAACGAATTTTAAATGTTATCTACTTGATTCTTTAGTAAGAAGGAATAATTGTCTTAAGTGTGTTTACAATTTTATTTAAGTCTCGAGAAACGTTTTTTATGAGTAAATCGAAAATGTTTATGCTAGTATGTTATTATAAACCTATGTTGCCCGAGCAGTAAAATAATTTTGTGTTCACAAATTTATTGAAACAACATTTTTGTGGTTTATTCAATGAAAATGAAATACCCCTGGTTGGATTTCTATTTTCTAAAAGATTTTAATTTTACAAAACATATTTAATATTATATGCGTAAAACTATAATTATTTAAATCAGTTATTTTCCAAATAGTAAACAAATATTTAACCTTTATTATAATATTATTCAACTGTTAGTTTGCTCAAATGAGAGAAGATAATATGCGGTATTATTTACACTTGTAAAGTGACATTTAATTTATTCAAACAAAACAATTTTTTTATTATACATTTACAATAAGTTTTTTTTTCTTATAATTACGTGGCTTGAATGTGGCGTGTGAGGAAGCTAAAACATAAAATTATAATACGTAGGAAAAAGTTTGTAATATAAAATTCTGAATTTAACATCGCAAATGCTATTAAAATATTAGCCGGACATTTCCAGTATAATTAAATACGGATTAAATATTATTTTGAAAGTTTAGGAACAACTAAAATATATATGCATATATACCACAATGATAAGTAAATTTTACAATTGATGTGTTAAAATGTTTCGGCGTGCGTGACTGGTGTTATTAAAATTAATAAATAAATCTTTGTGAGGTAAAATTTAAAAAAATGTAAACAAAAACAATAAGTAACTGTGCAATATCCGTTGCTATAGGTAGATTTGCTAACGTGTTTTGTTTAACCGGTCTTGCAATTTTATGGATTTGCTTTCTTTTGTTTTATTATACGTCTCGAGGTCAATGCTATAATTATAATACAAAGTCCAGAGTCAACCGTAAGGGCTTACTACACAACGGTATGGATTAATGTTATTATGAAAAAATAAAATCAAGGATTTTGGATATTTAGTTCCATTATAAACTGTATAAAAAACCTCTACTATTTTTTTTCTGTAAAATAGGTACGTCGGTGTCGGTATAGCCATTTACTGCTGCGACCTTTAATTCACTTTGCTGCGTTGGCAAAGTGAAAGCGTCGCGACCAGATTTCATCTTCTGTTCTTTGAACTCTACCACGGCTCGACCATGTTGTCGTGTCTTTGCCGATCTCATCGCTAATATTCAATTTGCAATATTTATGCAATGAAAGACAATATTGTCTTATAAGCTTTTAAGTCTGCATATCTTGACTATTGCTTGTCAAATATAAGGGGCTAACAGCGCAGTTATACTTTATTGACCTTAAAATAAAGATCATAACTAGTAGATATGTACGTTTTAAAAATTGTTTTGCTAATAAATTTATAATTTTCAAATTAGCGAATATACAAATTAGTTATCGAATTTCGCTACAAACAACGGTTTATTCTTTTCCTACTACATAAACATTTCACGCCGCAACCTTTGGGCGTTAATTGTTGGTTATTTAAAAGTTAAAATGTTTAACCTAAATAACTGTTGACCTGATCTAGTAAGTTTTTTTACCTTTTTAAGAAAGCCTGAACGGCTATACTCTGCTACTTCTGGTGTCTACTTAGAAATCCTAGTTACGCACATTTATACATTAGTTAGCATTTACAATGCTAGAAGACCACGACAAAATACGTAATACAAATACAAAACGACACATTTGGAATATTTTCAAATCGGTCGTTAAAGTCATGATAATTACAGAGCAACAATTATAATGTTATAGTCGTCTGAGGTCATTTCATTTCTTAATATGACTATAATTATCATGATTGTTTTTCACGCGCGTAACCCATTTTATTTGAGCCTGTGACGTTGAACGAACAATCTTTTTTAATTTACAATTAGTATAATATCACTATTGAGACGACGTTATACCCTCTATTTATTAAGAAGTAGTTAGTGTATAGGCAATTTTTTGCTAAATATTAACTTAAAACTAAAATAATTATATATATATATATACTTAATATAATTTTTAGTGGTTTTTCGCTAAAACCATCATTGGTTTTACTCATTAAACGCATTAATCAGGTTTTTTTAAGCAGGAAAATTAAAAGCATATCGTCCCTTTAATTGTGTTTTAATTGATCTTAAATCAGCCAAATGCTGACTGTATTTGGATTTATACACAAACCAATTCTCATCGCGAATAACATTTTCTAAGGTACACCGAACGGGTTATGTACGCAAATAAGTGGTACAGCCAGTATATGTATTATTGTTGTAGTTATCTATCCCAGTAGTTATTGGAACGTTTAACGACTAGATTCTTCATTTCTCAGCCTCGGCACAAAAATACCAACTATAGACGCTGTTATGTTTGCTCTGGGCTGAATACGTTTTGTTACGCCAATGGATCATAATAAAGTCGTCATCGTCGTACAGACTTTTTTTTATATATACGGGGTTTTCTGGCCGTAGGAAGACGATGCTCTGACTGGCGTTACGCAAGGCAAAGTGTATTATTGTTGTAATACGGTTTTCTAAGAAATATAACGTTCTGCTAGTGTTACGCGGTTCACACGAAAAAAATGAGCAGCAATAGCAACTGTAGATGCTTCCGTCGAGCATATCCCCTCACATTACAAACGATTATTTGGGTGTGCGTAGATACTATTATATAGTATATAGAGTTGTTTTTATTTTAGTCCTAAACAACAGTATCATATGTAGTACTTTTAATATTTATATCATATCGCGAACCCGTTAAAATTAATTATAATAATTAAGACGCTGACACGAACAAACGGCTAAATTCCACATTTCATAAAATATGGAAACGGGAGTTGTGATTTTCAGCGGCTTTAATACTGTTACCAGCGACAAATGTATATAAAATAATATATAGTAAATATTAATTGGCTAAATAGATCCAATTTAAATAAATCAATTACGCATAGCTTTAATTTAATTGTGCCTGGTAGTAAAATGTCTTTAGGTTACTCAAAACAGCAAATAATTTGTTTGTTCAAAACATCAACATTATTGTTTTGAGCAAACAAACCAAAACTATCATGATAACAATATTGAATCAGGCATTTCAAAAATTACTATTTGTCAAATTTGATATTTATATAGTTAGTTACGTATTCTGTGTGAAAAATAAATTTGCCAGACTCATATTTAATACACATGTTGAGTATAAGAAATTAGAATCACTGCGAAAACTAGTTACCTATGAAGTTTTTTGTGGCTAGTGTAAAACTTCAATTTTGTGAAATGACCGATTCAATTAATTATAGTTATTCTGGCTTCTATTATAATCTATTTAAAGTCATCACCATTTAAAATCGTATGCGATAAATACATTTAGAAGGCCAGACCGACGTAGGGAAACGGATGTATTAAAATATTCTAAGCCGTCGATTCCTCGTGTTACAGCTATGCCGCTGTGCAGCTGTGCCATGTATACATATATATGCAGATGTGATTAGTATGATGATATAATTATGCGTACCTATAACATATACGCTACATACACGTGCGGCATTTACAGAGAATGCCTGAAGCGTTGCAAGAAAGTTATTTTTATTAAAATTGATTTGACAATCAATCAGACAACGCGTCTAACGCGCAGAACGTTAGAATCTATTAACGACGATAAAATTTACATAATAAAATAATATTATTGGAAAAAATATAATATTTTGCAGACGACTTTCGTGAAACCTTCGGCATAGGAGCTTTTTCTACGACACAACCGGAATGCGCTCCTAAACTCCTTGCTAGACAATTATTATTTAATTCAAAATATAATACAACTACTATGCGTACATCATATGCATTATGGTTACTATTAAATAACGATTCAAATAATTATTATTTTTTACATACATTACGGTGAACTACAGCGGGAACAGATTGTCGGATGTTGTGGCACCGTCGTGGCGAAAGTGCGCTGAGG